AACAATGCTAATGAGCTAAAGGCCGCTATTGAAGCATCCTGGGCATCCATAACACCTCAGCAATGCCACAGGCTGATTGCCTCCATGCCACGCCGCATTGATGCAGTAATCCGTGCAAAAGGATTCCCAACCAAGTACTGAGTGCATTAATGGACATTTTCAAATGTTTGATTGTGTTTTGCTGTTATAAATCTTTTTTTTTTACTTGGTCTGAGGAACTATTCTAATTTTTTGAGATAGGATTTTTGAGTTTTCTTAAGCTGTATGCCATAATCAGCAATATTAAAATAATAAAAGGCTTGCAATATTTCAGTTGATTTGTAATGAATCCAGAATGTATGACATTTTTGTTTTTTTAATTGCATTACAGAAAATAAAGAACTTTATCACAATATTCTAATTTTCTGAGACAGTCCTGTATATAGAGAATAAAAGTGGACCTAAAACAGAACCTTGAGGAACACCATTAGCAATGTTCAACCACTCAGAAGACAGCCCATCAAAGTGAACACATTGGGACCTTTCAGAGAGGTAGTTCACAAACCACTCCACTGCATGGCTGGATATGCCAATACTGAGTAGCCTCTGCTTCAAAATGCGATGATCAACGGTATCAAACGCTTTGGAAAGGTCAATAAATAGAGCTGCATAACTCTGCTTATTGTCTAAGATACTCGTAATGTTATTCACCACTTTCATTGTCTATATGAAAGTATTTTAATATCTATAGCACCTTAAATAACACACACCGACCCAGAATAAAACGAAAAATAATAATGGATGGATACAGTAAATGCAACACACTGTAATCAAACAGAAATAAAATAAACAAAAAAAGGTTCACATTACATAAATGGATTAGCCATTAAATACAGATGATGACAAAAAGTCCTAATACGCTAATACAAATAACTCTTTAAAGATAGTAAAGTACACCTGTTAACAATAAACCCCTACATCATTAGAATACGTCTATAGAAACAGTATTAAACAGAGATGTCCCTGGCTGACATCAGCGGAGTTCCTGCGATCCTCGGGACACATTCAACACGGAGCTGCCAGCCACAGCAGAATCAGGGCGAGAAGAGCAGGAGCTATTCAAAGAGCTGAGTTAATGAATTTGACTTTCGATGAGAGATTGTTAATTACCATGCAATGCAGTGAGATTGAAATTGTGTGGCGTGCAGATGATAAGGATTTAGCACAAGCATCAGAAAATGTTTGTGTTGCTGCCAAAATGCACACACACAACTTTGTCTGATCCGCCTCTGAGCTGTATTTATTTTACAGAATAATACAGTTTATAATAAATATAACTACTTTACTGTTTTTGCAGAAAACTGAAACAGACAAAAAAGTGTTTTCATGCACTGGTCAATATTTTTGCTTCAATAACTAAGTTCTTATTATACATTAAGGTCTTTATTATACCAACTTTATCCATTTGCTTCTGTATATTTCTCCTAAATTAACCAATAGTTAGCATTCAATTATGTCACATTTGCATATCTGAACATCACATAAAAATTGTCTCTTATGTAAGTCATCTACTAGGGAAGACATGTGGTAATATTTATTACTTAAGTTGTTTACCCTGTTCACCTGTAGTGTCTCCCCGTTAAGGCCCTTCACAAGTACACACACACACACACACACACACACACACACAGGTGTTTTAACATACTTTGCCTAATTACACCTCTCCTCAGTAATGTTTGGGGGAACATAAATGGAGCTTGACAGACATCCGCCTCACTTTCCTATAAGAACTTCTTAAAGTGGGACAAATACATTTTTCCTTATAGGCCTTTTTCACAGCAGGCATTTTGGCTTAGCAGGAAAACCACAGCTGTTACTAATCACATTAACAATGGCTCTGCTATATTAAATTGTCCCTTTAAGTCAGGATGACATTGAACCAGGATGCACCACCTCTGAAACTGAAGGCAGAGGTAATTGTACTTACATTCTACCACTGGACAGGAATGCTATGAAAAGTGTTATCTGAAATGAAACTAAACTACATTTAGTGAAGTTCAAAGCAAAATATTTCCCTTTTATATGTTGTAAAAAATCCCAGAAAAGGCTATGTTAAGTACTGCATGTCATACGGTCATACACTATTCTTCTGAGGAATGTATTACAACAATACAAATTAAATGATCATCCCCTTATTGCAACAGTGCAGGATGAACATAGTTGCATTAGATCGCCCTCTAGCTGTCAATGCTGACAACGAAATGAAGATATTTTGTATATTTTTGTCTGTAACACAGGTCTGCAATAACTATAAAGTAATGGTAGCATGTTCACGTGTTGTACAAAAACGTACTAGTATCAAAAGTAAGTACTTGTTGTGCTAATTGGAAAATGTAAGTGGTATGTGTATGTGTACACAATATTTATTATGCATCATTGCTGTCTAATTTAATATTTTACTTGAAAAAGAACCTGCAATGTAGCTCTCAAATAAATGTAGAGCACTAAACAGTAGGCTACTAGGCCTATATGTTTTTATCTCAATTGTACTGAAGTATAGCATTAAAAGGGAATCCTTAAGGAAATTGCAATTGTAGCCTACTTAAAAACTGAATTAACGTTTGCTTACTCACTCATACACCATTGTTCTATATTTGTAAATGCAGGAATGCAAATTTGTTATGCAATTAATGTGGTTTTAACATGCAGATCAAATGCAGGACTGTCATTTGCATACCATTATTAGTGACATATTGTGCTGCTGTTAAGAACTGTTAAGTATGCTCAGTTTACATAATGCAGGTGGGACAGAGAAGTCGATCTCTGTTGTTTGGGTATGTGTGTGTCTGCAGGTGAAAGCCTCCGTGTGACAGTGTTAAACATCTCTAATGGAGACACACACTTGGCTCCTGGATCTGGCGTCCTCACAGACGAGAGTGTTGCCTTCCTTTAATCGAACCCACCGGTTCATGGCAGGTCACTCCTCTCTGTGTTGTATTTCCCGTGGCCATCACGGTGAACGAGTCCAAAAAATATCGTAATTTTCCCTAAATCTCCGCAAGACCCCACAATCAAAACAAATCGACCACGCGTGCTTTTCCCGCAGCAATGACGTCACGTAAACCCGCCCCCTTATCCCCTCAAGTAAACAGAAAAAAGAGGAATACGTTCATGTCAGCCGCTGCACGAGCGTCTGCTGCGGGGAACAAGCTGAGAAAGAGAAAGGCGGACATTAACGCAGGGTTTCCCGTGTGTTTTTAGCAAAGTTAAGGGATTTGGGGCCAGCTGACTCGATGAAGGGAGAGGCGGAAGTGAAGTCACTTGACAGACCGTCCATGTTATTATTGTTATTTTGGTTAGCCCTGTGATGAGACGGGCTTGGGAGCCGTTGGTCTCCGAGACAACGACCGTTAACGTTACCGCAGACCGGGCCGCCGAACCGACACCACCCTCACTACCTCCGCACTGACCCGGAGACAGGAGACGGCTGGGGGGAGGGAGGGTGTGAGGACCCAGCTCCAGCTCGGCTCCCTACACTCCCCGACCGACCAAAAATAAAACGGCGACAAAAATAATATTCGTCAAACGACTGGTTGTCTGCGGGTTGTAGCAGGGACGTGCCGCCGCAGACATGAACGGTATCACCAAGGGCCGGTTCGAGGTATGACAGAGGGAGTGGACCACTAACTGTTTGTTTCTACTAGACGTGGGAGTCTTGTATAAGCAAAGTGTGTGTATGTGTGTGGTCGACTGTGCTCCTAATTTTACATGCAGTCAGGAGCCGTTTTGCTGGTCAAGGGTAATCCGAAATCCTGTTGTTGTCCTGCCGCACCAGCAGACAGCGACAACATGGAGCTGAGGACTGCGGGACAGGAGGGCTGTGGCCGAGGATAGTCGATATATCAGGGCCGAGGCTGGCTGCTGCTGGCACTGAGTCACCTGAGGTTACATGCTTTCACCAGGGGGGCTGCAGATAGGAGAGGCATGTTGTACATAAAAAGCAGTGTAACAGCTTTCAACTAGAGAATGCAATTCCTGAAGAAATTGCTAGTGGGAATGCTTTATGCTGAAAAGCTGACGCTAAACTGCTATGCTGAAATGTAATGTGTAAGAAGAAAGTGAAGAATTTAGATTGAAATTATACATGAACAATGGGGGCTTGAATGTGGGATGAGAGAAGAAAATAAAGTAAAAAGGCTTGGAAAAGCAGCAGAATATTTGAATTGCAAACTTTTGAACTAACTTGATGGTGAATGGTCTGTCGCCATGCCAACAGCATTTGATGACATCCCATAATACGCTTAGATGCGTTGATGGCTGCATCGTTACCAAACCTGTGAAGTTTTGGGCCGTTTGGAGCATTTTCACTGAAGTTATGAGAAAACCTGTGTTTCATGGTTAGCATTGTGTTGCCATGGCAACGGCATTTGAGAAATCTCAAAACTGTCCCGTAGATGTCTTCACGGCTGGACTGTTAGCTCACATGTGAAGTTTGAGCACTTTTTCAACATTTTCATTGGAGTTATAGCGACATCGTATGGCGAGGGATGCGTTTCCATGGAAACGGCATATGATGAAACTCCATAATTCACGAAGAGCTGTTGAGGGCTGGACCGTTAACCATTATCTGAAGTGTGGTGCTGTTTTGACCCTTTTCATAGGCGTTACGACAACATCGTGTTTTATGGCGAGGGATGCGTTTCCATGGAAGAGGTGATATACAGGTGAAGATTGTGGGACGACCGGACCGTGTCCATTGGAGCTACAGCGTGTTTTATGGCGAGGGATGCGTTTCCATGGCAACAGCCTATGGTGAGATCTTAGATTTGGCGTAAAGCTGTTGAGGCATGGGCCGGTGGTATACAAGCGAAGTTTGGGGGACAATCGGACCGTGTCCATTGGAGTTACAGCGACATCATGATTTATGGCGGGGGATGCGTTTCCATGGAAACGGCATATGATAACACCCCATAATTGACGTAGAGCTGTTGAGGGCAGGACCATTAACCATTATCTGAAGTCTGCTGCTGTGAGCATGTCAGTTGGAGTTATGACATCATCGTGTTCCATGACACAGGTGTTTATATTTGAGCTAATGAGTGTCCAGAGATCAAAGGTTTCCATGGTGATGTGCAGTAATCGGTGAGAGGAGAGCATTTTCATTGTTCTGAATGAGAGATAAACCTCTTACATGTGAACATTTTGTTGAAGAACCGTAACAGATATCGGTGAAATTTCAAAGCGTGAAGCATGTGAAGAACTCTGAGCATCTGAAGTGTGCTTTTTATGTACTTTCGGGTTCATAATGTGGCCTTTTTGGCAGATTAACTAAAGGTGTGCGGCTGCTGCTGTGAGGAAAGAGCAGCCTGAATTTACAATGGGGTTTAATGGAGACATGTTGAAAGTTATTGTCACTTCATGCCCTCAAGAAGCATTTTGTATAATAATTTTTGCCTAATTCTACGGTGGCCCTGAAGTGCAAGACACCACAGCATTTCACAAAACGCCACAGCATTTCAGAAAACGCCGCAGCATTTCACAAAACGCCGCAGCATTTCAGAAAACACAACAGCATTTCAGGAAACACCACAGCATTTCACATTGGACGGAAAGGGTATTCCTTAAGGGAGAACACTTCTTGTTTGTGATTTGACAGAGCCAGCCAGAGAAGCACTGCTGTGATTGGTTGTTTTTGCTGTCAGTCAAGAAATGACGCTTCGTGATTGGTCAACGCCCGACAGCGCAATATGAACACATTAGCCGTTAGCACAAACTCAGAGCTCACAGCTCCTCATATCTGTTCAGAAACTGGACAAAAGTTAAACATACAAACCACAGACTGTCTATGTCATGGCGAATATAGTCGCTGCTTTATTTATGTCTGTATGACGTTTTTGTGAGTGTGTACGGAGCAGCTACAGGTTAGTTTAGCCCGATCCGATTCCATTCAGAAAACACGCATTTTAAAAGCTTTTGGCCTGCCGTCTTGTCAGCAGACCTGTCAAAGCGTTAATTCATGTTTTTTACTAACCGGTATCAGTATGTAGTTACTTCAGCATCATTTTGAAACGTGTATTACAATTAAATCACGGTACAATTGGTTATTTGGTTGTAGTTGGTATCTCCCATAGCAGGGGTTCCCAGCCTTTTTCAACCAGGGCCCCCCCAAATGACTCCTGTTGGAATTTGCGACCCCCCAAAACTTTAATTATCGCTGTTACCGATCTGCCCCCCTGCCCGATCTGTACTGCGCATGTGCGAGATGGTCTGCCATACTGGACAACTCCGTACGGCAACCCAACTAGGACACTTGACACAGTGGCGTTTGGCAAAGACACAAAAAAGAAAAACTAAAAAAAACCGAGAGAGATGAGTTATTGTTATTACAACGTGACTTCACTATTATTTAACAACTCTTTGTATTGGGTTCTTTTATTTGGGGTTAAGTACATTGTCAGAATAAGTGAGACAT